ATAAAAGTAGTGGTCGAACTAGACATGACTCACTTCTTTGGCTCTCAGTGCAGCCATTTTTAATTCAAAGTCATTGAACAGCCGGCCGAAAAATGGTAAATAGTTGGCAATTATTATGACCAATACATTATATGAAATAAATTGTTGCTTCATATTAAAAATATAATTTAAAATTTTCATTATCAAAATATGATTACTTTCCCGAAGGCGTAATATCATCAAGTTATAATAAATTTTTGTACTTTTATCATTTAAATCTATTATAATTTTTCAATACATATCATAATATATTAATATAAATTTTAAACTGCAATTAAATGAGGTTGGCACTATACTGCACCCCCACTGCACCCTCTGCACCCCTGCACCCCTAAATCTTGGTAAGTATGCATAAGTAGGGACTGCACCCCCATGACTGCACCCCATGACTGCATCACCAATTACTGAACAATTTAATATATATCGTGCATACATGATAACATAATTTAAATCATTATTAATTAATAAGTTAAATATAAGAATAAATATTTTTAGAATTTTAATATATTTTACTAAATACACAGTATTATAAGATTGTAGAAATTATCCAGATTTAATTCAATTCATTACTCCAAATTGACAAATTAACGTTTAAGTTTGAACATCATAATTTTGATTTAAAAAACTATAAATTTAAACTGTAAAATAAACTTTGTTAAGTTTTATATTTATTAAAATTTTTATAATAATAATTAAAATTGTATATTATTTCTATTATAAGATCTTTTATAATTACACATATTTTCATATCCAACAAATATATTTATTTTAAACATTTGTAAAAATGTACAGTCATAGGGGTGCAATCATGGGGGTGCAGTCCCTACTTATGTATACTTACCAAGATTTAGGGGTGCAGGGGTGCAGAGGGTGCAGTGGGGGTGCAGTATAGTGCCAACCATTAAATGACGAGCAAAGGGGCCCTTCGGTGTCGTCACCGGTGGACGCGTCCCGACGACCACCCGGTGTGCGGACGGATGGGTTGGCGCTATGGCTGACGGCTATGTGTCCGCTGTTTGTGGCAAATGTGAATAATTCATAGCTGCTGTCGGGTATTAGATTAGACCGAGAGTTGTAATTACTATTGTTTAATACCTTGGTTGCATATGTCATGGTAAATATTATGTGCAATGCTTTATCCCGAAAGAATTAAATTTATAAAATGTCCTTGACATTTTTTGGAAATTATACTAAATTGTCTCGATTTAAAAAAAATACAAAAATCTTATAACTTTAAAAATAATTGAATATAAATATACTTTGTATTAATATTTATTACAGTTGTGAATGAATCATATGATGCATAAATCATTAAGTTAAAAACAATATGTTAATAATTTTATGGTATTTATTTAAAATTATTTTTCTAAATAAGTAATATGTGGAAAATGTGGACAATTCATAGCTAATGTCGGCTATAATATTAGACGTCAAATAATAATTGGTTTATTACAATATAGATATAAGCATTTCAACAATGGTTATAGTAAAATAATTTAAAAAGTCAATAATTATGATTTCCACAAAAATAAATCAATATAATACAAATAATGTATCCAAATTATTAATGGTTTATATTTTATTATAAACTTTATTTTCCAACAAGCTTTTAATTTTACATAGATCCAGGTTTATAAAACTAAGATTATAATTAACAATGAACAAAATTGTGCAAAAATGTTTAATAAAGCGTTTAATTATACTAAAATTTTTATCAATATTGGTAACAATTAGATGATAAATAAACATTATTATTATGATAAGTAGAGTAAGTATGACTGAATTAGTTACACCCTAATTGAAACAACTCGGTGGGAATAGGTACCACATAAGTGCTGTTATTTTTCAAGGATATATTATTTAAGGTCTGGAGAAACCGGAGCTGAATAGACATGGGGTCGAGATTTTCCGCCGCCTCCTTCAACGCCATCGACGCCCCCTTTTCTCCGTCGGCGGCGACGTATTTGGCGATCGCCTCCCGAGTGGCCTGCGCTTCGGCCGACAGCGGGAACTGCATATCCGCCGGGATTTTTACGTTTTTGATGTCTATTCGCTCCACACATACGCCCCAGAACTCAGTCGCCGCGTCCAAGTGTTGCTGCAATGAAAGTGCAATAGTATTGTGAAATGTGGTCACTCTATTTATAATAATATAGTTATTAAAAATTTTAATAATAAAGATATTGTGTTAATGATTAACAATTTTTGGTATTATATTTAATGATTATATTTAATTATAACTTTTATAAAAAACCCAAATTTATAAACCATATTATATTAATATTGTTTTTGTTATTTTAAAATTGAATAAAATGTTTTAATTAATAAAAATCAAAAAATTTATCACATAGTAAAAACATTTATAGGCTTTGGTAATTAAAAATAAAATATTAGTTGATTAATTTGACCATAAGAATTCTATCCTGTAATAAGTTAATAAATTAATTCAAATAAATTAATAAGACTTATAATGCTAAATTTACAGCTTTATATTAATATATAATATTTGAATCTATAAAATATGGACCGATGGGTACTCACCCTCAGGGCGTCATTGATGAGCGAACACTCGGCCAGTATTTGTGTCAGTGTTTTAGTGCCCAATAGATTGCGAACAGTAGTGGCGGCCAAGAGTTCGGTCGCCCGCCTATAGTTACGCACATTAGTGACCGCAACGATAGAGTTGTGAACCCGGTATAGCACCACAGCGTCCACATCGATGGTCAGCGAGTCTTTGTTCAGCACTTTCTGCGCCGGTATGTCATAGCATATCATCCGACAGTCGATTATACAGTACTGGTCTATGTATGGCATCACCAATACTAGGCCCGGACCCGAGCCGTTGGCTATTGAATAAATAAATGTGTTTTGATTATGGTAAATTATTGACGTATTAGTTTATTTACTTTTATTTCTTCTAGAAATTTATATCAAAATAATGTTTAGTGTTAAAATAAACTTTCTATTAATCGTGGCCAATTTCATTCCCCATAATAAATACAGAATTTAATTTGTATACTATAATACAAATGTTATTAATTTATTTACAGTTAGATATTTGAAAAGCATAATAACACAATATTTTATATTAAGATCATTTCTATCAATTTGTAGATAGAATAAGATTTAATTTTACGTTTAATATAAATTTTGTTATGTTTATAATATGATCTGCTCATGATTTTGGGTACATTATAAGATTTGCACTAGCCGGACAACTAGCCTTAAACAAATATGCTAATACAACTAAAACTACAATAGTTTGCTTATATTTGCATAAACGCATATTTAATGTAAACTGTAACTTAAGGAACAAGCTTGCTTAAAAATATATTTTATGGGCAGAAATGTCATGAATCATGATTATTTTTTGTTAGAACTAAACACAATCTAAATCAGAGTTTTGTTCAAGTACCTAGTTGAATATTGAATTATGCAAATATATCCAATATTAAACTAAAATCTATAAAGTTAAATAATCTATACCTGATTTAATTCTGCCGTTTCTAAACTATCATAATTGTGCCAATAAATGACAAGCAAAGGGGCTCTTCTGTGTCGTCACCGGTGGACGCGTCCCGACGACCACCCGGTGTGCGGACGGATGGGTTGGCGCTATGGCTGACCGCTATGTGTCGGCTGTTTGTGGCAAATGTCGACAATTCATAGCCGCTGTCGGCTATTGGGTTAGACCGAGAGTTGTAGTTACTATTGTTTAATACGCTAATTGCAAATGTCATACTTTGTTAAATACTAGGTGCGATGAGACATCAAAGAGAATTTAATTTTAAAAATTTAATCAGGCTAATTTAAATTCAATTGCATAAGTTAAAAATATACTAAATTGGTTCCGTTTAAATAAATGACAAAAATGAATTTATAATTATTAAATTAATTGAGTGCAACAATACTCGCTTAACCATAATCCAATATTATAATTTTGAAAAATGTTTGAAAAATAAAATACCTTATATTAATATTCATTGTAGTTGGTAATGAATTATAGTATATGTCAAGTAATCTGCGACTTATAATATACTTTACATTAAATATTCAACTTGTATATGGCACGTTTTATTTATATACTAATATTAATTGTAAATTACTTTAAAAATAAATCACCTTATTAATAAAAGTAATCAATATTACATATTATATATTATAATTCTAATTGTTTTAAATATAAATAATAGAAAAATGTTTAAATGTTTGCAATACACTGATTTATTTTGCATATACCATCTATTATTTAAACTAAAATTATTGAATGAAAACAAATATTATCTTAGA